GGCTGCCCGTCGTCGTTACGGAAGAACGCAAACAAGCCGATCGAGAATCCGAGAGCGTGCAGAATCTCGTGCTTGACCGTCGACAGCAGCACCTGGTGGCAAAACATGGAAGTTACACTGTAGCAAAACCCGGTGAGAAACGTGAGGAGTTACGCAGTAGTGGCACCTGGTGTGAAAAAATGGAAGTGACACTGTAGCAAAACCCGGTGAGAAACGCGAGGAGTTACGCAGTAGTGGCACCTGGTGTGAAAAAATGGAAGTTACACTGTAGCAAAACCCGGTGAGAAACGTGAGGAGTTACGCAGTAGTGGCACCTGGTGTGAAAAAATGGAAGTTACACTGTAGCAAAACCCGGTGAGAAACATGAGGAGTTACACAGTAGTGGCACCTGGTGTGAAAAAATGGAAGTTACACTGTAGCAGCACATTGTGGGGAAACATTGGGCGCGTTTGTTTGGGATGAATCCGTCTGATCGAGATCATGTGATCCTGATCCGACCAAACAAACGCAAACTCACTTTCACCGGTTCACGTTTCGCTGTGACCTATCACGGGATGGTTCATAACAAAGAACAAGCTGTGATTGGCTGAGGCGCGGGCCGCCATATTGAATCCCGTTCGAATCCGCCTCGCTAGCAGGGTCAGGTTTGGTGGATCGAGATCAAGTGATCCGACCAAACAAACGCGCCCATGGAAGTTACACAGTTACTGTAGCACCACCTGGTTGGAAAACATAAGAGTCATAAGGAGAGGCTGTATAGTAGCACCACCTGGCGGCGAAAGTGAGAGTTGTAGTAGGAACCTAAAGACCAGCAATAACAGAGCAGCAGGATCAATTACATTGTAGTACACATGTGCCATTTATAGAGATCTACATTAGATTACTAGCGCTCATAGGGTCTATGTCCCCCAGGATACTATCGGAGGGTACCCTGGGTACGGTTCGATATATCGGAACGTACCCTGGTACTATCTAATATGCCGGACCGTACCTCGCCTGCTCCACTAACGAGTCCAGGGAGTCGCCTACGCCTACTCCCTAACCCTAACCCTATCAGATAGTTACCAGGGTACTTTCCTATATATCGAACCGTACCCAGGGTACCCTCCGATAGTACCCTGGGGGACATAGACCCTCTCAGCCTTATTAGCCTGCTGACCGAATTCGCGATGCATCAACATGTTTTAAAATGAGGGGATTAAATTTAGATAATAATTTAGATAATAAGCTGTAATTGGCAGCTTTAGTGAGGCACACAAAGACCCTGTTAGTTCTGTAATGGGCCAAGATTATTGTCTAGTAATTTAGCACGTTACTACAAATTGGTTGCAGCAGGGCTACCATTATGAGTTTAAATGTACAAGGAAGGACAGGATTTCTGGTGTCATGATGAATGTGCAGTTTCACACCTGCGGGCGTGTGTGTACTCGGGTTTTTGTCTCTGTCTACATCATACATTAGCTATGACACTATGTTGTTGATCTCAGATGCATAACCTTGGTTTCGAAACATTTATAACTCCACCTAATATTTGTTCATTACATGTACAAGTACAAGTACAATGTACAATGTATATACAATAACATGTACATTGTATATAAGCAGAATATTTAAATGTGGAATTGCTGGGATTACACAAACATTTTATCCAGTCAGTGAATGGCAAGATTACAATATGGACTTGTAAGCAAACAGTTTGTATCACCTAACTGCCAATGTGAGGGGGGGGGAGCCAATATGTATATCAGTGTTATCACTGACGAATTAACCATGCACAGGCACCGACGGTGGCCCTGCACAGTCTCGCAATATCTCTGCTCAAATGGGACCTCAGTATATACAGTACACAATCTATTCTGAAACTGAAATCTAAACTGAAATTCTGAAAACCAAAAATCTCCGAAAATCACTTTTTTTCGTAGAGGTCGCCTGCATACCAAAGCTCGCGTTTGGCTGCGTAAGGTTCAATATATGTTTGGCATTACTCATACATATTGCACTGTACCGGTACAGCACTTGGCCTCTTGAAAATTTGGGTTTATTATTGGCTAGTTGGAGGATATACACGTAACAGTATGTATATCTGTACTGTACTACCATTCCAAAATCCGAAAAATGCCGAATTCTGAAACGTGTCTGGTACCAAGGCTTTCGGATAATAGATTGTGTAAGTGTAGTTCGCATATGTGCTAAACTTATCCGGGGTGTTAAACTAGGATTGGGCCATAGGTAGGATCGACCCAACATGGACACCGACTGTAGCCCTGCCCAGTCCTCAGGGCCGTAGGCTGAGCAAATACCTAAGGGGGGCAGTGACGGATCCATGATTTCAATGACGGGGTGAGAAACAGGTGGTGGGGTCTGGTTTCAAAATTTTGAAAATGTAGATCGCAGAAGATGGTATTTGAGGCACTTTTGAGTACATGTACAACCTTCTGACTACGACAATTCTCTTTTAGTAGAACAATTAATTTTTTTAATTTTGCTCCAAAATCTAGGGGGCAGATGCCCCCCTTGTCTCCCCCCCCCCCGCAGGCTACGGCCCTGGTCCTTCTCGCTTTACCTCCATCTCCTGCGGCTTTGCGGACACCGCCTCGGGACAGAGGTTCACATGGCCGGCGATGGGGCGGTCGAGCGCAGCCTCCAGCTGGCAGTGGGCGGAGAAGGCGACGGTGGTACCGATGTCGCAGCGGTGGTTGTGCACGGCCGACACGTACAGGATGTAGTCGGCGTCGGCAACGCCGCGCGCCGGCGGCTCGCCCGGCGCCGCCACCAGGGTGCGGCACGAGTTGGTGCCGCGCGTGCACGTGTTGCACTCGCGCAGGTGCTCGCGCGGGACGACGACCTCGCCGCAGCGCGTCACATTCGCGCACTCGTCCATGCAGAAGCGCTCGCGACCCTTGTAGATGTGCGTCGTGCCCGCGCACGCGCGGTTGAGCCTGATCGCCGCCGCCGTCTCGCGCACGCTCAGCGTCTGCTGCCAGTAGTGCGTCGCGTGCGGCAGCAGGTAACCCTTGACGACGTCCTGCTTGAAGACGGGCAGCCGATCGACGCTCTTGTCGTAGTAGAGTTTGATTCGCAGACGCTGGCCGATGCTGCGCTTGCGTATCACGTGATCGGGTTCGATGTAGACCTTATCGATGACCTCGTCGACACTGGGTGCGACGTAGTTGCATGTCACGTGGTCGGGGAAGCCGACTCCGCCGGGCAGAATGTACAAGAGCAAAATATCGAAGACGATCAGCTTGTACGAAATAAAATAGGAAGCTGCCATCTTGGTCCACGCCGATGTTACGAGCGCTGTGATTGAGTGCGCTGTTTGGTGACGCGCCGCGTTGTCGAATCAGAATCGTCGTACTATCGATCCGCCATCTTACTCGCACGCTACTTTGACGTCGGAGAGAAAATTCAGTGTCTCTCTATGTAAAATCTATGTAAAAAAGTGCTACTTTTACACCAGAATGAGATAGGATCGAACGCCGAGGCAACCTAGTTGACATCAAACCCACATTCGTCGACATGGATGCGGTAAAATCGTTTAATAATGAGGTAAGCCTGCGTCCGATGAAATGTTTATTATGCCTTCCACACTTTGTGTTTAACTGCTTACCACTACACTACCATCTTCGTCGGTTACCGGTTCAATGATAGTTTGTTTTAAGTATATGGTAGTAGGTTTTCGTCTCCTTCTCTACCGGATCTGCTGAACTAGGACTATGTTCATGTTGAACCGATTATAATATAAATCGGGATCTGGACATTACAATGACAATGTACCAGTATTATTATAGAGGGCTCCGCGATTTTTCATATTACTCACAATGCAACGCCGCTGGCCCTGACGGATACAGAAACCAGTTCAGGCATGGTACAAGTACATTGAGCAGCGCACCTCTGCTCATTTTATATTCGCCTACGCAAATGCATCACAACGCCGCTCTCCTTCGGTGTTGTCAACTGCAGCAATCGGCATCAGAGAGAGCCACACAGCTTTTTCAGGCTGCCTAGCGTGATCACAACACAAGGTAAAGTGACGAGAGACCAGGCGGAATACAGACGCTTGGAGCATTTTCAATAAAAAAGCAATGCTGAATAAACACGAAATGTATTTACTACCAGTGTCTTAATGTTTCTCTACTCTCTTTTGCCTAGTAGTAGTATTGCCGATAATTACCTGTAAATGCCGGTCAAATGCTCCTCTGCAACACACAGGTACACCGCACGCACGGCGCATGCCGCTACACATTTACGCTTATATATACATATATCTCGCTTACTATATCCCGTTTGTCTCGCAATGGGTGGTCCAAAAGATAATAGAAGAACACGACGTTTCGTGCGCTACTGCGACACTTCGTCAGGTGATGCGGCGACGTTGCGCGTGAGGTTATATATATCCCCCGGTTGGATTGAGCGGTACAACTGCTGGACAGGCGCTGCTGTGATTGGCGGTCTGACGCATGATGTTTCTTGCGCCGTGCCCGGCCGGCTGGCGCCTGCAAGTTCCCGCGTCGAAATCGTCTGGCTAGCGTTGGCTGTAATCTCACCTGTTGTGGGTCGGCCGTCGTTTGCTATCGTAACGTGTGATTCATGGCGGCGTATCGTTGACATCCAGAAATTGGGGATATCTAACCCGTTGTCTCTGTTAAAGTTGTTGGGGCGGAGACGAATACCCACGCCGTTTCATCCATGGTTCAACCAAAAAAACTTCACAACCTAAGGAGCCGAAGGATTATAAGACGTTTACGGTCTTACCCTTCATAGACGGGATCTCCCAGCAGCTG